TAATGACGGGAGCTGCTTTCTCACGCACGGCGACGTGCAGTCACTCCGATCTGGGAAGTACGTTGCTCTGCTGAAAGTTGCCCGCCCTCGAAAGCTTTCCAAGACGCAACTCCAGGCCATCACATTGGGAGTACTTGTTCCAACACTGTTCCTGCTGATAGTCTGTCTCGGATGGCACTGCCGGAGGAGAAATAAGCATGATGACGACGAGGGAGAAGAAGAAAGCACCTTGCAGCTATCCCTCATGGCGGGTATGCCCAGGCGCTTCAGTACGAGATGCTGGGCTTGAACGCCAGGAAGAACCGGGTGACGGTGGCGGGCTGGATGACGGCCGTGTCCTTCCACCCGACTTGATCCACGTCGGCTCCCTGTGCCTCGCCCGTGTAGCAGCTCCTCGAGTCCGGATAGTCGTACTCGAACGAGCACGACCCGGCAGCGAATCGCCCGGTGTCGAATCCCTGCTGCTCGAGCACGAGAAAGTTGATGAGATGGATGTGGATCGGATGGGATGCTGTCATGGTGTTGATCATGCACCACACCTCGTTCGTGTAGAGCAGGACTTGCTCGGTGGCCGGACGCATGAAAGAGAGCCTGTCCTGGAGGAAGAGTCCCGTGAGCGTGTTTCCAGAGTCGAGGCTTACACGGTGGACGAAAGGCCGGTTCTAAGTTGACGCCCAGTCGACGTACGAGAGATCTACTCCGGCCGTGGCTTTGATGATCGATAGCGTTGGCAACTCGGCCAGCTCGCTTGGAGTGAGTGCTTGCGGGATGTCATCGTCGTCTTCGTCGATGGTAGCGTTGGTCTGCCAGTTGATTACTTTGAACAGGAGAACCTCTTGCTCGGTGACGCTTCCACTCGGGAATGGAGCCGGCGCGGTGTTGTACAAGAGAACTCTCTCCCCGGGCTTCACTCCGCGAAAGTCGATAAGAATGTCGACTCGCTCGGAAGGAGAGAGCCTGAGCTTCTTCTGCCTTATCGGAGTCGCCAGGTATCCCCCGTCCGTGCCAATCTTGATGAAGCTCAAGCTCGTGTCGTTCAAGTTGAGGATGAAGAATCTCGAGTTTGCCGCAAGCAGCACCCGGAACCTCACCACCACCGGCCAGACTTCGATGTAAGGCCACACCTTCCCGTTCACCAGAATGGTATCACCAAAGTAGTCCGGACACCACTGCGGACGAACTGCCGGATGGCTCCCAACACTGGGATAGTTTATGGAGCCGTCGCTGAAGAACTTCTTGTCTTGGATCACCAGAAGCACGTAGTTTCTCGGGACCCAGGATGGATCTTCCCACGGCGACTCTATCACGTAAACTCCGACCAAGCCAGCAGCCATGTTGAGCCGGGTCATGCCGTAAGTGTGGTCGTGATACCACAGGAGCGAGTGGCGCTGAAAGTTGGGATAGACGTAGTTTTGCGTCACGTAACCCGGGCCCCGCTCGCCAACTGATGTAAACCAGGCTTCTGGATGCCCGTCGGACCAGCTCGAGCCCTCTTGTCCATGGAGATGAGGGACCACGGGAATGTAGCCGTAGCGCGGACCCGCCCCTAGGATCGTATAGTCGACTGGAAGAAAGTGTTCACGATCTGGAATGTGATTTTCCCATCGGACAAAGGATGTTTCTCTCTTTTGGGCTATCAAAGTTGGACCCGGATATGAAGCTGTATACTCGCTCGTGCCGAATGCATACAGTGTTGTTGGTGGCAAGTCTCTGTGCAGTTTCTGCGTCAACAAAAAAAAACGAGTCTTGGAAGAGTCTGGAAATCAAGTGGAGAAAGAACGCATACCTGGGTGATTTTGTAAGCTCCAATGGTAACTCTGTAGCGTGGGCTCAAGTATATCTTCGGTGGCGTTGGAAGAACGTCGACGAACTTTTCCAGCTCCGGGGACGGTGACAGTTGCAGACAGACCTCATCCGCTTCTACTGCGACTAAAATCTCGAGGATGAACAGCGTTACGAACTTCCAAGACATTGGGAACTCTTCCAACCTGCTTGCAACACTTGCCGAACTTAAATAAAGTCAGTCAAAGAAGTGAACCTGGCGTGCAAAGTCTTGTCCAAAGAGCGTGACACAGCTCGCTGGGAGTTCAAATAATTCAGCGCTTGAGAGGCCGAAAAAATAATGGCTAGCAAAGGAAAGTTGTGCTTCATTGTCTCGTCGATCTTCATCCTGCGTTTTGCTCAAGCCGCAATTTCCTATAGGAGTTTCACCATCAACATAAATGATTCCTTCTTGTTTCCGCTTGATCCATCCGGGTTGAGTGGCCGCGACGCTGATTTATGGTCCAACTACACTGACACGGACATGAGCTACCAGGTGTGGATGCTGAGCTATGACGCCACAACACCAAGATCGTTCTTCCTGGCACTTGTTGGAATTCTCAATCCAAGTAAGCCCTGGGAACTCTTAAAACCGGTGGTTCTGTGGAAGGCCCGACAGACGAGGCTTGTAGGTGAGAATGCCACTCTACAATTTACCACAGATGGAGAGCTTAAAGTCGAAGAAGACGGTGATGTCGTATGGTCCACGAAAACTGCAAACAGAGGCGTCCGGTGGCTCTGTATTTCCAATCGCGCAACCATAATGCTCCTGGATGAAAGCGGAAGCAATGTCATCTGGCAAAGCAGCGACGAACCTTCTGACACTGTGCTGTTGCAACGAGCACTTACGCCGGGACAAAAGCTCGTAAGTTGGAATACTTCAGAAGACAGCAGCGATGGCCTCTATAGTCTCGTCATGGAGAAAAACAGGCTGCAACTGTTGTACGCCTCGCAACCGTACTGGAGCTTCGGTAATATTGGCAGCGAGGAAAACATGTTTGCGGTGTTTTGCTGGCAAAACGATGGTAACGTGTCTCTGGATCTGCGCACCGACTTCTCACAGATTGAAACGATGCCTGATGAATTGGGGTTAGTGCCTTCCCGGTCATGTTCTAGTCGAGGTTTAAGAGACCAAGTGATGCCGTTGAACGTAAACGGGTCACAGTTCACGTCCTCCACTTTCATAAGGCTCACACCAGATGGAGATGTGGACCTGTACTCCTGGAATTGGACGGGTAGCTACTGGGCAACTTATCTCAGCTTTTCCAGTCTCTTCAACTGCTTCCTTCCAAGTGCATGCGGGAAGTATAGAACCTGTAATCCAGTGTCAGGTGCATGCGAGGAAACTTGTCCCGAGAGCTTTACCAGGACAGGTCGAGATTGCCAGCCATTGAGTAAACTTCAGACGTGTGCAGAGGACCTCGAGTATCGATTCGTTCGAAAGGAGGGAGCTGGTTACTTCTCCACAAATTATACTGATCCACTCAATGTTGCATCGGAAGCAGACTGTCAAGGGCGCTGTGAGTCGAACTGCAACTGCACGGCTGCCTTTTATAGTGACCGGAGCTGCTTTCTCGCTCATGGAGACGTACAATCGCTTCGAACTGGAAAATACGTTGCGTTATTGAAAGTTGCACAGCCACGAAAAGCATCCAGGAAGCACGTCCAGGCCATCACCTTGGGAGTACTTATTCCGACACTCGTCCTTCTGATTATAAGTCTCGGATGGCGCTGCCGAAGGAGCAAGAACGATGATGACGAGGGAGAAGAAGAAAGCACCTTGCAGCTCTCTCTCATGGCTGGCATGCCAAGGCGTTTTAGTTACCAAGAGCTGCAACAAGTCACAGGAAACTTCAGTGAAATGCTTGGAAATGGAGGATTTGGAAGCGTGTTCAAAGGAAACCTTGCCGATGGAATTGAGGTCGCTGTGAAGAAACTTGAAGGCTCCAACCAGAGGAGCAAAGATTTTTTCGCCGAAGTTGGAATCCTAGCCAGGACGCACCACTGGAACCTCGTCAAGCTGCTGGGATTCTGTGCCCAGGGTCCAAGGAAAAGGCTCCTGGTGTACGAATATATGAGGAACGGGTCCCTCGACCGATGGATATTTGAAGACGATGAATATCCTGGCAATGTGCCGTGGGGAGTTAGATACAACATTGCCTTGGGCACAGCAAGAGGATTGAGCTACTTACATGACGAATGCGCTGAAAAGATAATCCACTTGGACTTGAAGCCGGAGAATGTGCTCCTCGACGATGGTTTCCAGCCGAAAATAGCAGATTTCGGACTGTCCAGGCTCATGGACAGGAAGGAAAGCCACTTGCAGCTGACGATAACGAGAGGCACTCCTGGCTACGTCGCACCGGAGTGTGTTCAGGAAGGAACAGTGACTGAAAAATCGGATGTTTTCGGCTTCGGGGTATTGCTGCTCGAGATCATAACAGGTTGCAGGAGCAGGAATCTCTCGGATGATTTCCTGAAGGACTACCTGTTGGTCAGTGAAAGGGACGAGAAGGCTGTTGCTCACCTCCACCAAGACGACAAGGAAAGAGAGAGATTGAAGACCGTGGTAAGTTTGTGTGTCCGAGACGATCCAGACTTACGGCCCTCGATGATGAACGTGGTACCAATGATGCAAGGAGTTATTAAGCTTCCTCAGATCCCCTCGGAGTCGCAGCTCCAGTTCTTCCTCGCTTACAGATCCAAACTTCAGCTTAGCAGAAGCACAACCTCGGACGTACCTCAGTACAGTTCTAATAAGTTGCTGGGTTCGTCAACGTCGTTTGGATTTCTCTCACAAGAGAGCCTGGGTTGTCGATAATTGGATAGTGCTCAGTACCTATACAATGATATGTAAGTAATTCATACCTTGTGCCCAGTATATCCGTTACAGTCCACAAGAGTTGTATAGCAATCCTAACTTGAAGAAGGAGCTTGCTTCTTCCCGATCTGGAAATTTGCAAAGAAAGTAAGAAAACAAACCTGCAACGACTTGCTCAAGAGCTCGTGCTTCGAAATCGAGCGAGCCAAAGTAATCAAGCAAATGGCTAGCCTGCTTTTGACTCAAGTGACACTCTTCTACTGGAACTCAAGTATACCTTTGATCGAACTTCTCCAGTTCAGACACATCCCATTGGCTTTCACCACGAACAAAATTTCCCGCCGTTTCTAAAGCGATTCCTCTCTCACCACAGCTTTCGCTAAACTGGAAAGAAAAGAAAAAAAAGAGAGGGGGAGTCGAAGGAAAACAAAATCTGTGAGAAGATTTCTCGTACCTGATTCCTACGGATTTCCTTCAACCTGTTAAAGCATATCCACATAAACTCAAGTCAGTCACAAAGCTCGGCTATAACCAAGTCTAAACGTATCTGCAAAGACTTGTTCAAAGCGCGTTGGAACATCCAAGTATTTGAGCGCCGGAGCCGCAAGAGAGGTCGAGAACTCCATGGCTACCAAAGGAGAGCTGTGCTTCATCTTCTCGTCGATCTTCATCCTGGGATTTTCTCGAGCGGAACTGTACTACAGGAATTTCACCAGTGAAGTAAATGGTCCCCTGTATCCGCTTGATCCATCCGGCTTGAGTGGCCGCTACACTGATTTATGGTCCAACTACACCGACACGGACATGAGCTTCCAGGTGTGGATGCTGAGCTATGACGCCACAACACCAAGATCGTTCTTCCTGGCACTGGTTGGAATTCGCAATCCAAGTAAGCTCTGGGACCTCACAAAACCGGTCGTTCTGTGGAAGGCCCGTCAGACGAGGCTTGTAGGAGAGAATGCCACTCTAGCATTCACCACCGATGGAGAGCTCAAGCTTGAAGAAGATGGCGACGTTGTCTGGTCCTCCAACACCACAAACAAAGGCGTCCGGTGGCTTGCCATATCCGACAGCGCGACCATAATGCTCCTGGATGAAAGTGAAAGCAATGTCATCTGGCAAAGTAGCGACGAACCTTCTGACACTGTGCTGTTGCAACGAGCGCTTAAGCCGGGATATAAGCTCGTAAGTTGGAATACTTCAGAAGACAGCAGCGACGGCCTGTATAGCCTTGTCATGGAGAAGAACAGGCTCAAACTGCTATACGACTCGCAACCATACTGGAGCTTCGGTAATATTACAAGAGAGGAAGATATGTTTGCGGTCTTCTGCTGGCAGCCAAATGGAGTCGTGTCCCTGGATCTCCGAACTAATTTCTCACAGATAGAAGGTGCGGGCTTGGTACAGCCGGAGTCTTGTGCCATACCTGGTTCTGAAGACCAAGCGATGCAGCTGCCAATAAACGGGTCACAGTTCACGTCCTCCACTTTCATAAGGCTCACACCAGATGGAGATGTGGACCTGTACTCCTGGAATTGGACGGGTAGCAACTGGGTGACTTATCTCAGCTTTTCCAATCACTTCAAGTGCTTCCTTCCAAGTGCATGCGGGAAATATAGAACCTGTAATCCAACATTAGGTACATGCGAAGATACTTGTCCCGAGAGCTTTACCAAGAAAGATGAAGATTGCCAGCCATCGTTTCCACTTCAGATGTGTGAGGAGGAGATGGAGTATCGATTCGTTCGGAAGGAGGGAACTGATTACTTCTCCACAAATTATACTGATCCACTCAATGTTGCATCGGAAGAAGATTGTCAAGGGTTGTGTGAGTCGAATTGCAACTGCACGGCTGCCTTCTATAGTGACCGGGCCTGCTTTCTCGTGCATGGAGACGTGCAATCACTTCGAACTGGAAAATACGTTGCGTTATTGAAAGTTGCACAGCCACGAAAGAATTCCAGGAAGCACGTCCAGGCCATCACCTTGGGAGTACTTATTCCAACAGTCGTCCTACTGATAGTAAGCCTCGGATGGCGCTGCCGGAGGAACAAGGAAGATGACGACGAGGGAGAAGAAGAAAGCACCTTGCAGCTCTCTCTCATGGCTGGCATGCCGAGGCGTTTTAGTTACCAGGAGCTCCAGCAAGTCACAGGGAACTTCAGTGATAGACTGGGAAGCGGAGGATATGGAAGCGTGTTCAAAGGAAAACTTACCGATGGAACTGAAGTCGCTGTGAAGAAACTCGAAGGCTCCAACCAGAGGAGCAAAGACTTTTTCGCCGAAGTTGGAATCCTAGCCAGGACGCACCACTGGAACCTCGTCAAGCTGCTGGGATTCTGTGCCCAAGGTCCCAGGAAAAGGCTCCTTGTGTACGAATATATGAAGAACGGGTCCCTGGAGCGATGGATATTTGAAGACGATAGAAAGCCTGGCAGTTTTACATGGGACGTTAGATACAACATTGCCTTGGGCACAGCAAGAGGATTGAGTTACTTACATGACGACTGCGCTGAGAGGATCATCCACCTGGACCTGAAGCCGGAGAATGTGCTCGTCGACGATGGTTTCCAGCCGAAGATAGCCGACTTCGGATTGTCCAAGCTCATGGACAGGAAGGAAAGCCAGCTACAACTGACAATTGCGAGAGGCACCCCTGGATACGTCGCACCCGAGTGTGTTCAGGAAGGAACGGTGACTGAGAAAACCGACGTTTTCGGCTACGGGGTACTGCTGCTCGAGATGTTAACAGGTTGCAAGAACAGGAACCTCTCAAGTGATTACCTGAAGGACTTCTTGTTAGTCAGTGGACAGAACGACAGTGCTGCTGCTCACCTCCATCAAGACGAGAAGAAAAGAGAAAGATTGAAGAACGTTGCAGCCTTGTGCGTCCAAGACGATCCAGATTTACGGCCCTCGATGAGCAACGTGGTACAAATGATACTGGGAGTTACTGAGCTGCCTCAAATGCCCTCGCGATCACAGCTGAATTTCTTTCTTGCTTACAGATCCAAAGAGCACTTGAACAGGAGCTCAGGCTCGGACGTCTCGCATAGGAGTTTTGATAAGTTGCTGGATTCATCGATGTCATCGACGTCATTTGCAATTTTCTCACAAAATAGTGGTCGATAGTTAAACCGGAGTATAATTTAAACGTAGGTATAGTATTGCCTCTGAAAATCACAAAATTTGTTGAGGCTCATTCTTTGTCAAAGAAGTAAAAATATACCTTCGGAGGAAGTATTTCGTCCTTGTTCAACAAGAGAATCGCCGATCACAATGCTTCTAGGAGTTTTGGGTTTGGTGGTTCAGAATCGTGTTCTTCGTTCCCTACGTCGCAGCGTCGCGCAGTGTTTCTTGCCAAGAAAAATGAAAAGTCGCTGTTAGACTCCGCAAACCATTACTAAACAATACCTCACACATGGTCACATTGCAGTGCCGCATTGAATAGCAATTAGCGTTGAAACAGTCCCGACGAGACAATTTCCTGGCATTACTAAAACTCAACGATGAACAGCGGCACAAACTATTCCTTATCAGCTGTGTAAACGCGAACGAATAAATAACTTTAGTCATACGTACTTGCGGAAAGACTTCTTCAAAGCTAATGCTTCGAGTCGCTGGAACTCCCGAGTATGTGAGCGCGCTCTCCAGCAACGGCTAGCAGAGAGCTGTACTTCCTCGTCTCGTTGGTCTTCATCCTTCGCTCTGCTCAAGCGGCACAGGAATTTCACCACCAAAATAGATGGTCCTTTGTATCCGCTTGATCCATACGGTTTGAGTGGCCGCTACGCTGGTTTACGGTCAAATTATAGCGACATAGGTATCAGCAAGGACATGAGTTACCAGGTGTGGATGCTGAGTTATAACGCTGAAACGCCAAAATCGTTTTTCCTGGCACTCATTGCCATCCTGTGGAAGGCCCGACAGACGAGGCTTGTAGGTGAGAATGCCACTTTACAATTTACCACAGATGGAGAGCTTAAAGTCGAAGAAGACGGTGATGTCGTATGGTCCACGAAAACTGCAAACAGAGGCGACCGGTGGCTCTGCATTTCCAATCGCGCAACCATAATGCTCCTGGACGAAAGCGGAAGCAATGTCATCTGGCAAAGCAGCGACGAACCTTCTGATACTGTGCTGTTGCAACGAGCACTTACGCCGGGACAAAAGCTCGTAAGTTTCAATAATTCAGAAGACAGCAGCGATGGCCTCTATAGTCTCGTCATGGAGAAAAGCAGGCTGCAACTGTTGTACGCCTCGCAACCGTATTGGAGTTTCGGTAATATTGGCAGCGGGGAAAACATGTTTGCTGTGTTTTGCTGGCAAAACGATGGTAACGTGTCTCTGGATCTGCGAGCCAACTTCTCACAGATTGAAACGAAGCATGATGACTTGGGCTTAGTGTTTTCCTGGTCATGTTCCAGTCGAGGTTTAAGAGACCAAGTGATGGAGTTGCCAATAGATGGGTCACAACTCACGGCCTCCACTTTCATAAAGCTGAAACCGGACGGGGATGTCGTCTTGTACTCCTGGAATTGGACGGGTACAAACTGGATAGATTTCTTCAGGTTTTCGACTCTCTTCAAGTGCTTTCTTCCAAGTGGATGTGGAAGATACAGAACCTGCAATTCAGCATCAGGCGCATGCGAGGAAACTTGTCCAGATACCTTTGCAAGAAGAGGTGAAGACTGCCAGCCACCATATCCACTAGAGACATGCGAAGACCAGCTCGAGTATCGATTCGTTCGAAGAGAGGGAGCTGATTACTTCTCCACAAATTATTCCACTCCAGTTCCTGAAGCATCAGTGGAGGCGTGTCAGGGGCGACGTGAGTCGAACTGCACCTGCACGGCGGCCTTTTATAATGACGGGAGCTGCTTTCTCACGCACGGCGACGTGCAGTCACTCCGATCTGGGAAGTACGTTGCTCTGCTGAAAGTTGCCCGCCCTCGAAAGGTTTCCAAGACGCAACTCCAGGCCATCACATTGGGAGTACTTGTTCCAACATTGTTCCTGCTGATAGTCTGTCTCGGATGGCACTGCCGGAGGAGAAATAAGCATGATGACGACGAGGGAGAAGAAGAAAGCACCTTGCAGCTATCCCTCATGGCGGGTATCCCCAGGCGCTTCAGTTTCCAGGAGCTTGAAGAAGTCACAGGGAAGTTCAGCAACTGCCTCGGGAATGGAGGATTCGGAAACGTTTTCAAAGGATTACTTGCCGATGGCACTGAAGTTGCTGTGAAGAAGCTCGAAGGCTCGAACCAGAAAAGTAAGGACTTTTTTGCGGAAGTTGGAATTCTAGCCAGGACGCACCACTGGAACCTCGTCAAGCTGCTGGGATTCTGTGCGCAAGGGCCCAGGAAAAGGCTCCTTGTGTACGAGTATATGAAGAATGGCTCCCTAGAGCGGTGGATATTTGAAGACGACAGAATTCCTGGGAATATTTCGTGGAAACTTAGATTCAACATCGCAATAGGCACAGCGAGAGGATTGAACTACTTACACGATGACTGTGTTGAAAGGATAATCCACCTGGATCTGAAGCCGGAGAACGTACTCCTCGACGATGGTTTCCAGCCGAAGATAGCAGACTTCGGATTGTCCAAGCTCATGGACAGGAAGGAAAGCCAGTTGCAGCTGACGATTACGAGAGGCACCCCTGGCTACGTTGCACCGGAGTGTATTCAGGAAGGAACGGTGACTGAAAAAACAGATGTTTTCGGCTTCGGGGTTCTGCTGCTCGAGATCATAACAGGCTGCAAGAACAGGAACCTCTCAGGCGACTACCTGAAGGACTACTTGTTGGTTAGTAACAGAAACGGTAGTGCCGCTGCTCACCTCTCTGAAGAAGAGAACGAAAAGGAAAGATTGAAGAATGTTGCGGCGTTGTGTGTTCGAGACGATCCAAACTTACGGCCCTCGATAAGCAAGGTTATACAGATGATGGAAGGAGTTACCGAGCTGCTTGAAGTACCTTTGGAATCGGAGCTGAATTTCTTTTTCGCTTACAGACCCAAAGATCAGCTTAGCAGAACCGCAGCCTCGAACGTGACTTATAGGAGTTCTGATAAGTTGCTGAACTCATCTTCCTCGTTTAATGCCTTCTCACAATCTAGCCTGAATGCCCGATGAAATTATACGTTACAACATTGAACGAAAAATATACCTTCGTTGATTCGCTACTGCTGAAACTGTTGCGCTAAGCCAAAAACAATGTAGCTGCAATATCATTAAATCATCAACCTCCAAAGAAGAACAGTTATATCTTCTCCTATTTGGGTTCCAGAAACTCATAAAGGAAATTCGTCGTCCAAGTCTGTAGAAAAATCGTCAATTAGTACGTGATTCAAAACTAGAAATTATAAGAAGAAACCGTTTCGAGCTTCGGCTTTCAGCAATAGCAAGCTACAAAAAGAAAAACCTCGCGAAATATCCTGAAAAGCTCCATCAGGAACACAAGAAAAGAGAAAGATTGCCAATCGTCATTGCAATGTGGGGTAAAAAGGCAATATTGAGCTTAAAATCGCAGGTGATCTTGAGAGAAAAGGATGGAGCTCCCTCATGAGAGTTTCGAAAAGATGCTGAAACTATCAATATCGTTCAAGGATTTGCCACAACACGAGTCCATCTAGAGCACAAAAAAAGGAATAGCAATGGACGCGATTCTTAGCTTGAAAACCAAAATTTACCAAACGATGGACAGCGTCCGCCTGGAGCTAACACAGTTGGAGCACAAAAGCAAGCGCATCACAGCGCGCTCTTCCTCTATCAACGAACAGCGACCAAAGTGTGAGCGTCCATCTAAAGCCAAAGGATTCTTTGTGTAAGCGAAATATACCTCAGATTTCACGGATCTTCTGTGACGAGCTCCAGCGCCAAGAAAAAGA